GACAAAATGAGCCTGTTGCCCAAATGAAGACAATTTGCATTACCTATTGCCAATAATAAAATTCATGTTTTCAAGTAAAAATTAGAATTTTGAAAAACTTTCATTTATCATCGTGAGCTTAAAAGCATCCCAATATTGAAAGATGCTTCTGAGGACATCCAGCTTTCTTATTAAGCCAGATTTTGCAAAAGTGTAAAAGGATGCCATTCTTCTCATTAAATTTTTTTTGTTTTAGCAAAATATGGTTACTTTCCATAAAAATATATTATTTATGTTACTATGTTATAGTTTTATTATTGCTACTTTAAATAATCTAAAAATATTTTTTAAAGTTCTCTGTTTTAATTTCTAAAATGGTAAACTTTGACATAACCCACAAACAAAGCTCTTCTGGGCCTCAATAATTTTTGAAAGTGTAAAGGGGTCCTGAGACCAAAATTTTGAGAGCCATTTGTTCAAACTATCTCATTCTAGCTCCGCATTTTACAGATGGAGAATGTGAGGCTCAAAGAGGAGACAGAAACTTTCCATGAATCATAGGGAAGGGTGGTGACTAGGCTCCACCTCTCCTGCTTTTCAAGCTCAATTCCTTAGTCTCCACGTCTTGTTTCTATTTCACCACGTCTCTGGGTGGTCCTGTGGTAAATGAGTGAGAAAAGATGCTAGCCTTACCTGATGTAGCTGGACAGCATGAAGACATTGGAAGACTTTTTCTTTATTTACTGTAAAAGAAAAAAAATATTACTCTGTAGTCACTTCCAACTTTAATATTTTAAGATATTTTAGAGATGTGAAAACAAAGCCCCCAGAAAATTACAGAACAAGATGGTAACTGCAATAGAAAGATGAAAAGAGTACATCATGTGAGGCTGAGATAAGAATTCACACCAGAGGACACTACTTCCCTTTCCCGCCTTTAGCAATGAAACACAGCCCAGTCACCTGTCCCCACAAGGCAGGAAATGAAGCGGTGCTAATAACCTTGAGAATCAGGACACTGAGTGGTGCCTCCAAGGATCTAACCATTCACGCCCTACCTGCCAGCCCCCAGCTCAAAACACCAGCAGCAGTAAAGAGAAATATGCCTCCATCCTCTCCTTCTCTCTTAGTCTTCAGTTTGGGGGTTTAGGGGTGAAGGGTTTGTAACAGCCGGCCAACCTCCTCTGCTCTACTCATTGAAACACTTATTTTGTTTTATAGAAAGTAGTGTCGCCCGACTCTAGAAATGCAATAAAGCCAATTAAGATCTTTAAATTTGTTGTAATTTTGTCTTTTGACAGGGGGTTCTTACCATCTTAGCATGGGGCACTCACCAGGAGGCATAGTCTTATAAGGAAAGCAGGCTGTGGGTAGCCTGGTTGAGGGACTATGAGCCCAGCCTGTCTGTGGCATCGCTGTTAATTTAGCAACACTTAATTTAGCTGTTTGGCAGCAGGGAACTACAGCCTCCAGCACACTACAGGCTGGTGGGCAGGTACCAAAACCTAAACTGTCCCCCCACCGCTTGTTTCCTGCCCCACTGCTGCATCCTGCCCCAGCCAGGCTGGGCAAAAGGAGACATTGGAAGGAGACCTTGGCGAGAGCTGGGAAAAACAGAAAGGAATTTTCAGTGGGCGATAGATACTCTTCCTTGAAACATACAACCGAAGTACCACATGCAGACCTATGACCCTTACAAAAATATACTATTTGCTTTTTTCATTCAAGCAAACAAAAAATCATAAAATCCCCAGAGATGGACAGATAAAAAGACATAAACCTTTCTTAGAATACAAAACCTTTAGAAACCACAGCACACAAACACTAACACACATACACAAAACTCTCCTACTTTAAAGAGGCCCAACCCACCAACAAAAGCAAACAAGTGAAGCACACACATGGCTGCCTCTCTGGCCCCGACATCACCCCTTCCTCCCAGGCTCTCCCTTCTAATTCTCCTGGGCTTAGAACACTCTTGCTCCCTAATTCTCACCCTACTTCATTCCTCTTTTCGGTGCAGCCATTCCCAGAGTTGATTCCACAGACCTCTTCCCATAAGACACATTGCATATACTTTGGTGGTAGCATTTAACATAACCTATGGGGAGCTGCAAACAAGAAAAGCAGCAGGTAATGGCTAATTGTTATCTTTCAGGAATTCAGATCCACTGTTGCCAGGGTCTCCAAATTTTTAATCCAGCTTCTTAATGTGAAATATTGTAATTTTAAAATGAGGACAATTCTGGGGGTGAAGGAAGGAGTTGAGTGCACAGGGGTATAACTAAACTGTTTGAGTTAGGGGAACTGCTTTGCATCTTGATTATGGTGGCATTTACACATGTGTTAAAAAGTTCAACATGGGCCGGCCTGTGGCTCACTTGGGAGAGTGTGGTGCTGATAACACCAAGGCCATGGGTTCAGATCCCTATATATAGGGATGGCCAGTTAGCTCACTTCGGAGAGCGTAGTGCTGACAACACCAAGTCAAGGGTTAGGATCCCCTTACC